TTTCTGTAAGAATTTGGGTAGGAAAAATCGATGGCTTTGAGAGAAAGCAACATGGAATAAAAGTACTTTGGAAATTAATAATATAAAAATAATTCGTAAAAAAAAATATTATCGAAATTGTCATGGGGAAATATCTTAGCCGTATATGACGCTCTGTGTTCCAATTTGCGAAGACACTGTCTGGGTGGGGTGTTGAGTCAATTTCATCCAAATAGTAGTTGCATATTTGCATAGTGAGAAAAGTGCTAATTGGGAATTTTTCTTGCGCATCCATATTTCTTTAATTAATCTGTTATCGAAAAGGAATTTTTTCTAAATTAGGGTTTTCTTTTTTCAAAACGGAAATCTTCATATTGTAAGCTATTTGGCTGTTACATAGCTGATTGATCGATATGTTAATGGATCTTATGAGGATTTATCGTTGCAATACTAGATACGTCAACTCTCTAAATATGCATTCATTCTCTGCAGGGGCGGATTCAGGGGGATTTGGGTGGGGGAGCTAAAAAATTTTTTGGGGTAAAATGGTATAAAATTTTAACTTTGGGGGCTAAAGTGTATAAATTAATACAAAAATAACTTAACATATTTAAAAAAAAAAAAGGTAATTTTTTTTTCAGCAGCCCCCCCCCCCCACCCAACACATGCCTTGGGTCCGCACCTGATTCTCTGGTTCTTTAGATCCCATAATTGGGCAATTATTCGGATACATTTTCTAAGATATGTACCTTTTTTTTTTCCCTCTGATATGTTCCTTGCACGTGTTATCTTGATGTAACGGAATTACCTAATAGGTTGGGCAGGGACGGAAGGAACGACGTTGTTTGGAAAAAAAAACGCAAAAAAACTTATAAAAACGTGTTTTGAATTTCTTAAGTAACAGCAACTTTAATTGGTTAATAAAGATTGGCTGCGTCCAATCATTGGGGGACACGTGGGTCACCTTTTTCAGCAGCTCTAGGCTATAAATAGAAAGCTAGCTGGAGAAGGAGGGTTATGGAGAATGTATTTTGGAATCCATATTTTCTAATCAATAAAGGAGAGGGAGTTTGTTAGCTGAATCTATTAGGGTTCTAGCCTAATCCTAACAAGTGGCCATCAGAGCCAAATCCTGGCGGCATCAACGAGCGCACTCTGAATTCGATCGATCGAAGATGGCGAAGAACAACACTCGAGTGGAAGCAATGGAGCAGCATATGTCATCAATGGAAGAGCAGACGAAAGCATTGGAGCAACACGTCGCGAGTTTGTTCAGTGGACAGCAAAATCTCCGATTAGAGTTGAGTAAGGATGTAGAAGAGAAGTTAACGGAAGCTAATCGACGTACGGACGGCAGATTTGATGAACTAACGAAGAAATTGGAGGAATTTGGGCAGTTAGTGGTGGCAAATCGTAACAAGGAACCGTCGTTAAGCTCTGGATCTCCGGCGAATTCATTGGGGGCGGCAACACGAGGACGAACGGAGGGACCACCGCCGTATACGATCCACATGCATCGGCAAACGGACCACGTTCCAACCACCTATTCATCTATTTCCAGTCACAAAGGTCCTAAGCTGGAATTCCCTAGATTTACCGGGGATAATCTGAGGGGATGGATTCGAATATGTCACAAATATTTTTATGTTTACAAAACACCGGATCACGAGAAAGTTGAATATGCATCCATGTACATGGAAGGAAGAGCTGACCATTGGTACTTGGATTATCTGGAAGGAAGAGAATCAGTGGACTGGGAAACGTTTACGACCATGATTATGGATAGATTTTGTGAGGAGGAGGATGAGAGTGTAGTGGAAACCTTCAACAAATTGAGGCAGGAGGGTACAGTGGAGGCATATGTGGTAAAATTTGAGGAATTAAAAGCTTTTATGTTGCACATGAATCGAACACTATCGGAGGTGTATTTCATCAAGAGCTTTGTCAGTGGATTGAGAGAGGAGATTAAGAGCATGGTGAAATTACTTAAACCTCGTACTCTTAAGGATGCAGTTAGCAGTGCTAAACTACAGGAAAAATCATTGGAGCAAATGTAAAGAAGTTTCAAGCAAGCTGCTAAACCAGTGGGGTTAGGATTTAAGCCATACAAACAACAGCCGATGGGGGAGTCTAAACTACCACCTATCAAGAAACTTTCTACGCAAGAGTTGGAAGAAAGAAGGAAAAATGGCCTTTGCTATAACTGTGATGAGAAATATACCTATGGCCATAAGTGCAAGAGGTTGTTCATGATCATGGGAGCTGAAACTCAAGAGGATTCCAGTGATGAAGAATTGTTAGAGGCTGAGGAGGAGATTCCAGTAGAGCCAGATCAACAACTGTATAAGATCTCGGTATATGCTTTGGCTGGCCAAGCAATCACTAGCACCATCAAACTCATAGGTACTGCACACATGCAGCATATTTCTATTCTGGCAGACACTGGTAGCTCTCACACATTCTTAGACATCAATACTGCTAGGAAGTTGCAATGCATAGTGGAGAAAACTTCAGCAATGAAAGTGGTAGTAGCTGATGGAAGGAAGATATGTAGTGATGCTAAATGTACTCAGTTTAAATGGGAGATAGGGGAACACTCATTCCAAGCTGAGGTGAGATTGTTGGACCTTGGAGGATGTGATTTGGTCATTGGAGTGGACCTCATGAAACAACTAGAACCTATTACTTTCCACTTCACCAAGCAACGAATTATTATGAGGAAGGATGGCCGTACCATTAGGTTGCAAGGGGGTCCATCTGAGGTAGCATTGAAGGCCATTACTGGTGAGAAAGTGCAGCATCTTCTCAAGAGGGACAAGGTAATGATTGGATGTATTTGCATGGTAGCTGGGATGGATGGGAATATCACTTCCACACCATTTCCTCAAGAATTGTCCCATATACTACAAGCATTTCTAGATGTGTTCAAAGAGCCCACTGATCTACCACCTAAGAGAGGCTCAGAACATCCTATTGTCATTAAGCCAGGTATGCCACCATTTAAAATGCAACTATATACATATCCATATTTGCAGAGAAAGGAGATAGAAAAAATGGTTGATGAGATGTTACTATGTGGTATCATTCAGCATAGCACTAGTCCTTTTTCTTCACCGGTTCTACTAGTAAAGAAGAAGGATGGATCATGGAGGTTTTGTGTAGACTATAGGAAGTTAAATGCCATTACAGTTAAGGATGGGTATCCAATAACTATTATTGATGACTTGTTGGATGAGCTTCATGGAGCTAAGGTGTTTTCCAAGATATATTTGAGGGCTGGTTACCACCAAATTAGAGTTGAAGACAAGGACATACACAAAACTGCTTTTGTCACAGCCTCAGGCCATTATGAATTCAAAGTCATGCCTTTTGGTCTTACTAATGCTCTAGCCACTTTTCAAGCTCTTATGAATGAGATCTTTAGGGAGTGTTTAAGGGAGTTCATATTGGTATTTTTTGATGATATTCTCATCTACAGTAAAGATCTAAACAGTCACAAGGCACATCTAACTACTGCTTTGGAAATATTGAGGCAGCATCAGCTCTATGCCAAAGGGTCCAAATGCAGCTTTGGTCAATCCCAGATTGACTACTTGGGCCACATCATTTCAGCAGAGAGAGTGGGAATGGACCCGTCTAAAATCCAGGGAGTTAAGGATTGGCCAGTTCCAAACTCAGTCAAAGCTTTGAGGGGGTTTCTTGGCCTTACTGGATATTACAGGAAGTTTGTAAGGCACTATGGTATTGTGGCACGGCCCTTAACTGATTTGCTCAAGAAAGGGCAATTTTCTTGGTCAAATGAGGCTAGCATTGCTTTCCAAGAGCTGAAGGAAGCCATGGCTAGTGCCCCAGTATTACAACTTCCAGACTTCTCTAAGACCTTCATCTTAGAGACAGATGCTTGTTATCATGGAGTGGGGGCAGTATTGATGCAAGATGGTCACCCCATTGTCTATTTGAGCAAAGCATTGGGTCCTAGGAACTTGGGTTTATCTGTTTATGAGAATGAATTTTTAGCTATTTTATTGGCTGTGCATAAGTGGAGAGCTTACTTGATCCACAACACCTTTATTATCAGAACAGATCAGAAAAGCCTCAAATATTTGCTGGAGCAGAATATATCTACACCTTTACAGCATAAATATTTGGCCAAGTTGTTAGGCTTCAGTTATAATATTGAGTACAAGAAAGGGGTTGAAAATAAGGCAGCAGATGCCCTTTCCAGAAGAGATACTGGCTTGATGCAGTGTGCTACTCCACAGGAAGTGCAAGTTACTACAATCACTGCAGTTACTCCTCTGTGGCATGAGGAAGTTCAAGCCAGTTATGTGGATGATGACATTGCTCAAGAAGCCATTTCCAATCAAGCTATTAGGCCCTGGGATGTTTCTTACTTCCACTATGCCTCTGGCTTATTGAAGTTCAAGGGCAAAGTGTTTGTTGGCCATACTGGTGATCTAAGGAATACTATCTTGGAGTTTATGCATGGCTCAGGTTTAGGGGGGCATTCTGGCATCCAAAGAACTTATCAGAGGGTGCACAACATCTTTGATTGGCCTGGCTTGAAGGGGGAAGTCAAAGCATTAGTCACTGCCTGCTCTATTTGTCAACTCAACAAACATGAAAATTCCAAAGTGGCTGGCTTGCTCCAACCTTTACCAGTTCCAGTGCAAGCTTGGAGTTATATTACTATGGACTTTATTGAGAAGCTTCCCCTTTCCAAGGGCAAGGATACTATTTGGGTAGTGGTTGATAGATTCACCAAATACAGTCACTTCATTGCTCTCAGCCATCCTATGAGTGCATCTTCATTAGCATAAGTTTTCTTGAACAACATTTACAAATTGCATGGCTTACCTACGTATATTGTCTCGGATCGTGACAAGATATTCACCAGCGCTTTTTGGGCAGAATTGTTTAAGGCTTTGGGGGTGCAATTACAGTTGAGTACTGCCTATCATCCGCAAACGGATGGTCAAACTGAGCGAGTTAATCAGTGCTTGGAGGGGTATTTGCGATGCATGTGCTGCAAATTCCCTAAGCAGTGGAGTAGTTCGTTGGCACTAGATGAGTGGTGGTACAATTCCACTTACCACTCTGCTATTAATATGTCTCCTTTTCAAGCGTTGTATGGTTATCCACCTCCTTTGGTGGGCTATGGAGTGGTGGAGGAATTTAAATCCGTAGGTGTGGAGCAATGGGTCAACGATCATGCTAAGTTGTTGCAACACCTTAAAGAATTGTTGCAACGGGCTCGGGACCGTATGAAACTTCATGCCGATAAGCATCGGCAAGAGCGGGCCTTTGTGGCAGGAGACTGGGTGTATTTAAAGCTAAAACCATATAAACAGTTGAGTATGCGCAAAAAGTATGGAAGCTTACGCCAAAGTTTTGTGGTCCCTTTCAAGTTGTCCGTCGGATTGGGGCCGTGGCGTATGAATTACAGTTACCACCCACAGCCAAAATTCATCCCGTTTTTCATGTTTCTTTGCTCAAGAAGCATGTTGGCTCGCGGGATCAGATTGTGGCTGATATTCCGCCTATGACAGATAATGGGGAGTTGCTTTTAGTCCCGTTGAAGGTGTTGGACAGGCGTATGGTTAAACGCAACAATATCGCCGTGGGTCAAATGCTCGTGCAATGGGCTCATTTACCGATGGAAGAGGCGACGTGGGAAGACGCGGATTCAATGCTGCAACGTTTTCCTTTATTCCACGCATGAGGTCATGCTCGTTAAAAGGGGTAGGTATTGTAACGGTATTACCTAATCGGTTGGGCAGGGACGGAAGGAACGACGTCGTTTGGAAGATAAAACACAGAAGAACTTATAAAAACGTGTTTTGAATTTCTTAAGTAATAACAACTTTAATTGGTTAGTAGAGATTGGTTGCGTCCAATCATTGTGTGACACGTGTGTCACCTTTTTCAACAGCTCTAGGCTATAAATAGAAAGCTAGCTGGAGAAGGAGGATTATCGAGAATGTATTTTGGAATCCATATTTTCTAATCAATAAAGGAGAGGGAGTTTGTTAGCTGAATCTGTTAGGGTTCTAGCCTAATCCTAACACTTGAATTAGTGTTCAAGTTGAAATGGTTATGGATTGCCCCCCCCCCCCCCCCATCTCCATATCCTTAAGCACATGGTATGAGGCTTCATTAAAATTTATGTTTCTATTTTTTTATAGACTTATCTTCTTTTTATTGAAATTTTTTATTTATTTATAGTATTGTAATATAATAACTGAATTAAATTGCAATTTTTAGCAGATGGTGATGTGGTGATGGTGATAAAACAGCCAGGGACATCAAAGTCTTTTTTCGGAGAAAATATGACTTAGTCTAATGTTAAATCCCTTTGATGGTATTGTCAACTTAAGTAATTCCTTATTTTTAATAACGATTCACCGTTGTTCAATTTTGATTATATTTTATTTGAGTTACTGTTTAAGGTTTATAAGAGCTATTGGTCGATGGCTATATAAATGGGGCATTTTTTAAAGAAAAAAAAAATTGTACCCTTTGTACAATTGGTAAGTGATGCAAAAAATATGTCTATACGAGTAAATCTTATATATAAAAGAAGAAAGGTGGTGTTCTATCGATAACATATTTTTTTGGCTTATTTGCAGCGACATGTCTGATGTACTTGACTCGGTTGGAGGTAGAATATTAGTAATAATGACTTTCATTTACAGTCTTTGATGATGCTAAAGATAGATCACCTTAGATAGTTGAAATAGGATGAGCTGGAAGAGCATAGTGGATCACTGGCTCACGAGCTTGATGACCTTGAGATACCTGCGATCATAGAACACGTGAACTAGGCCGGGGGTTGATCCGGCGGAAACCCCTCTGATGCTCAAATCAGACGTGGGGATAGTGGAAATAGTCCAGAGAATACAGTTGATAGTATTGCTCAGTTAATAGGACGTACCTTAAGGAATGAGTTCAAACCTTTATTTATAGCTTAGTTGAGATTGTCGGGCCCAAACCTTACTTGAAGGTGATTGGGCCTCGATGATAATGGTCTTCGATATTGGGCTCGTGGCCCAGTATGTAAGGAAATTGTAGGCCCATTGGGTTGGCCCAATTAGGCATATCATTAAGCCCCCCACTCTCGAGTCGATGTAGGGGCCATGTTGAAATGGGTGACATATCGTGTCGAGAGAAAAATTGTAGTAGTCGATGGTGTGTGAAACCGCGTTGGAGCGTGTGTCGGAAGGGCGTGAAGGCGCGTTGGCGCGTAGCGCGACCAAGTTGTCGCGATGTAAGTGACTTGAGTCGTTGGTGTTGTCCCACGATGATGTGGTAGCGCGGATCAAGTTATCTCCTCGTGGGAGTTGTCTCGTCGTGGGGTAATAGAGTTGATCGAGTTATCTCCTCGTGGGAGTTGTCTCGCGATAATGTAGTAGCATGGAGCTAGTATTCTCCTCGTGGGAGTTGTTATTTATCGACAATGTCAATGTTTTAACGCGTTGCTTGTATGTGTTTACATATAGCCTTGTGCGTGATGTACTTGAGGAGGGGATCAGGCTCTCAAGATTTTTTATTTTTTTTATGGGGATCGTACCCCTTGTTGAACCTCGTGGGTCGTAAGTGTGTTTGGACCGTGGCCACGTTTTAATGAATTGACCCATCGAAAACAAGTAGATAAATTTGAGTAATCAAGCTGGCCAGGCTATATAGATTCCCATAATATATCTAAGTGTTTCTAGGGTTGTAATCGTGCTAACTTGAGCTTGCGATTATATAGGGAATTTCGGGCGAGTTGTCTCCTCATGGGAGTTGTCTCGCACCGAAGTTGTAGGAGCATTGGATGACGCGCGACTGAGGAGCGTGTGGATAGAGGTTGCTCTGAGCGATTTGTCTCCTCGTGGGAGTTTTCTCGCAACGAGTCTAATTATCGAGCGAGGTGGCTACACGTGGGAGTTGCCTTGCAATGGATTTGTAGTGTCGAGCGAGTTGGCTCCTCGTGGGAGTTGGCTCCTCGTGGGAGTTGTCTCGCTGCGGGTTGTAGGACGGAGCGAGTGGTTTTCTCGTGGGAGTTATCTCGCTGTGGTATTGTAGATCCGAGGGAGTTGGCTCCTCGTGGGAGTTGCCTCGCAACGGGTTTGTAGGACCGAGCGAGTTGGCTCCTCGAGGGTGTTGTCTCGCTGCGGGTTGTGGTACCGAGCGAGTTGGCTCCTCGTGGGATTTGTCTCGCTGCGGGTTGTAGGACGGAGCGAGTGGTCTTCTAGTGGGAATTATCTCGCTGTGGTTTCGTAGATCCGAGGGAGTTGGCTCCTCGTGGGAGTTGTCTCGCAACGGGTTATAGGACAGAGCGAGTGGTCTCCTCGTGGGAGTTATCTCGCTATAGTATTGTAGATCCGAGGGAGTTGGCTCCTCGTGGGAGTTGCCTCGCAACGGGTTATATGATCAACG